CCCCAAAACCCCAAAACCCCAAAACCCCAAAACCCCAAAACCCCTCGGCAATTGATGGTGTTGAATTAGAAGAATTTTATAGAAGCTAATTTAGAGGTTTTATAAGCTGAAATCGATTAAGTATTCATCTCCTAATGTGGCATCTTTCAGATACTCTGTGTCTGAATTTACCGAAAAAGCTCCAGGCCAATATTGAGTGGCAGAAATATCTGGAGGTAGTAGGCCTATTCTTTTATATGCACTGGCTATGAGTTCGGAGCAAAAATAAGACTTTGTTTCTTTTATGTTCTCTGAGGCATCTCTATCAGATTTTTGTCTTCAGATTTTTACTAGGTTCATTTTGTATTTCTTCCCCCTCACTTGTTGGGCAAAGTCTTCAAGCTGCTCAATATCGTCTTCTGAGACTCTGTAATTGAGTCGTCTATATACCATTTTGGAGTACAATTTATGCCATTTGTTGTTCATGAAAGCATTCCAATCAAGGAGATCAACTCCAAGCTGGCTTGTGCTTTCAAAAATGACAAGTTTCTCTCCAAACTTGAAGAGCAAGGCGACATGGTCATACTCACTCCTACTAAAAAGTCTTTGAGTCCATGCAATTCATGATTTGGATTTAAAAAGAAGAATATCGCCCGTTTTAGAATTTTTGATAAAGTCATCTTCTGATCACCGTAGCATTTTCCAAAAACTAGGTTGAATTGACACATTTGTCAAGTTTTCTTTAACCCCTTTACTAGTCTCTTGGTGCTTTTGAAGCACCTTCAGCCAATCTAGGCACTCTGCTTTAGTCTCGTCTCAGATTAAGAACTCAAAATATCTGCTTGCAGCAAGCACATCTATTTTGAATGATGTTCCTATTTCCTTGTTAGATTATAACAATAAATCTTCTAATTTGAAATGTTCCAAACAAATTTTAATGATAATTTCTGAGATTATTTCTTATTCCCAAATATTCAGGTCAGAATTTTACTCGAAGGATTTCTCAATGAAAATATTCGAATGCATAAACCACGGTAAATTTCAGGGCTTATCAAATTATGCGTTAAGCTTATTCAAAATGTAAGATTTCTTACCGATTAGCTCTCCTGAAGTGTACTCCTTTGGAACAGTGATTTTGCAGGATCATAAATTGAAGTCAATAACCCCATCAAGCTCTTTATTTGGATTCAGACTTGTAATACATAAATTTTTGGTGTTTGATGACACAGTACCGACTCTGCCAGCCGACTGATTTTGGATTTTTATGGGATCTTTTCAGTAACCATCCTTCTTTTTGTTCTAAATTGAGATTTCACGGAACAAGCTGGCTATTCCGGGAAGTTGATGAGGGATCAAGACTCTCATGAAAAGAAGAGTGTTCTCGAGAAGAGTTGAGATCCAATAAATTCTTTGTTACAACAGTACGTTGTTGCTGAGGTATTGAATTAGAAACTTTCAATTCCTCATTCTGTTCTTCTTTAACTTCTTCATTATTGTTCAGCACTGAGTTTAGTTGAAGTAAGAAATCATCTATAACATTTTCTTCTCTATTTTGAGGACTGATAGAAGGTTCTTCTGCCTTCTTTGACTCTTCAGGGATCAAGCTTAGCTTACGGTTATATCTTTCCCCAACTTTTGAATGTTCGGATAATTCACTATTATGGAAGTCCTGACTCTGCCTCATATTTGATGCATTAAGATCCTCTGCGTAATGATTCTAGATAAAGGTGAATACTTTAACATCAGAATTTACTTTCAGTACAGACCTTTTAGTAAAACTTTGCTAGCTAATTTTTGGGAATTAAAATATATGTCAAGTGGTTTGCACAATTTCTGTTACTATCGAGAATATTTTTAATTGATCAAGTGAACAATGTATAAGAAGGATCACCTACATTTCCTCCAGATTTCTTGGGTGTATGGAAGGGCTTCTGAACCGAGGTTTGGCTTTTGTACTCATTTTGAGAGCAACTATTGAAGTTTTGGCTCTGATTCCCACCGATAGAAGGTGCGTTTCCGCCAGAAGAACTCTGGAGTTCTCCTTCTTCACTGAAGTCAACCTTTACTGAAGAAAGCTGAACTATAGAACTTGCTTGAGAGATTTTATTTAAGTGGGCTTCTATCATTTAATTTCTGGGAATTTTTAAACAATCCTTCTTGAGTTGTTGAGTTCTTCTGATGGTCATATTTTTCTGGGGTACTCTTCCGGTAGTCAAAAGTCTGTGTGATATGAAATCTCTCTTGTTTTTCTGCATCATGGAATAGTTTGTCTAATTTCATACTGGTAGAAACATGCTCATTTTCAGCACCCTCCTCTCTCTGCTCTGTGTATCATTTATTTATTATGAGAGCTTTCTGAGAAATTATTGCTTTTCATAACTTCGTGGTTATTATTTCGGTGAAAATTGTTACAATTACCAGTTGAGCGAGCGTATGGAGATTCTCCGATATTATCAACTTCTTTACTCTCTTGTCCATTCTGGAATGAGTCATTATCGTCCATATTAATTATGTAATATTTATCAAAGTTGGCAACCTTCAATTATTATTTAAATTCATGGGGTTTTGGGGTTTTGGGGTTTTGGGGTTTTGGGGTTTTGGGGTTTTGGGG